TGCCCGTCCAATGTCACGACTATTGGAGAGTCTGCTTTTGATAGAAGTGAAAAACTAAAAGAAATTGATTTCACCGAGGCGACTGCGTTGGAAACGATTGGAGTTGGTTCCTTTTTCAAGTGCGCTAATCTTCTTGCTTTCAAGTGCCCATCCAATGTCAACACTATTGGCGCATGGGCCTTTGGGGAATGTGAAAATCTGAAGGAAATTGATATCACGGAAGCAGCTGCGTTGGAAACGATTGGAAATAATGCCTTTTCCATGTGCCCAAGTCTCTATTTCGAATTTGTGTACGAAAGGGAAGATCAAGAAATCACAGAAATCATCAAACAAATTATGACGAAGTTGATTGTGCGCGGGTCTCATGTAGAGACTATTAAAGAGGAGGCCTTTGCGGAATGTGAAAATCTAAAGGAAATTGATTTCACCAATGCAACTGCGTTGAAAACGATTGGAAGTGTAGCCTTTTACAAGTGCCCTAGTCTCCTTGCTTTCAAGTGCCCCTCCAATGTCAATATTGTTGGAACTGCTGCCTTCAGGGGTTGTGAAAATCTAATGGAAGTTGATTTCGCCGAGGCAACTGCATTGGAAACGATTGGACTGAATGCCTTTCACAGTTGTTCAAGCCTCCTTTCTTTCAAGTGCCCTGCCAATGTCACGACTATTGGAAACGGAGCCTTTGGGTGGTGTGACAATCTAAACAACATTGATTTCACCGAGGCAACTGCGCTGGAAACGATTGGGAAGAACTCTTTTGAAGTATGTCGTAGTATCCTTGCTTTCAAGTGTCCATCCAATGTCAACAATATTGGAAAGGAGGCCTTTTACGGTTGTGACAAACTAAAGGAAGTTGATTTCACCGAGGCAATTGCGTTGGAAACGATAGAAGAGTTGGCCTTTTCCAGTTGTTCAAGCCTCCTTGCTTTCAAGTGCCCATGCAATGTCAAGATTATTGGAAGCAGTGCCTTCAAAAGTTGTAGAAATCTAGAGGAAATTGATTTAGCCGAGGCAACTGTGTTGGAAACGATTGGAAGGGAAGCCTTTCGAGAATGTACTGGGCTCCTTGTTTTCAACCGCCCAGGCAATGTCAAGACTATTGGAATTTTTGCCTTTGCGAGTTGTGCAAATCTTAAGGAAGTTGATTTCACCGAGGCAATTGCGTTGGAAACGATCGGAGATCAAGCCTTTGCCTATTGCCCAAGTCTTGAAAAGGTTTACCTCGCTCCCAACGTGACGGTTATCGGGAAGGGTGTCCTCGAAGAATGTCCCAATCTCAATTTTTTGAAGATTCCCGGTTTTAGTCCAGCGATTCACATTCGATTGTACACGCAACTTGATGAAGATCAAAGAAGTAATGTGTGTATTACTTTGGATGATATACTATCTGTCTATGTTTTGAATCCAATAAAGAAATCGGAGTTGGTGGAAAACTCGGGGAAAGAAGTATCGATTCTTGGCCAAGTCAGAGCAAGATATATTGACTCCATGATGAAGAGAGCGATGCCAATTTGGTCCAATCACTAAAGGACTCAATCCTACAAGAAGATGGCAACGGCACATCATCATTTCTAAAAAAGGACGGTGCCAAGGCAGAGGATTACTGCAACGTG